AGACTCACCCCTCCATCTTCGGGATATTTGATGGGCACGGAGGAGAGGCAAGTGCTTAGCTGGGAAAAAAAGAAAAAAAAAAGGGGAGGGTGGGGAGGCTGGTTACAGGGCAAGGAATGGATGTGTTCTCACCCACCAGGTTTGTGCAGTTATCTTGAGACACTTTGGGAGGGGGCGGTGGGAGGGTGATGGAGGGTGGGGAATGTTTCCTTACTTCTTGGGGTGAGGGAGGGAGACGCTGAATAGGGATTGAGAGTACTCCATTCCTTTTATCTCTCATCACTCCCTCTATGATTGGTGTGGTGTAGCTGCGTTTCTAACCCCTTTGCCCTTTACAGTAGTAAAGGTTTAATTGAAGTAAAAGCTGCTGGAGGTGGCTCTTACGTGCGTGGAATGACGATGGCGTGTACAAACTCCCTGGAGTCATCTTTTGTTACAGCGAAGTGTGGTGTGATCCGATTTTGGCACAGGGCTGGTCTCCCCCTCCTGTCAGGAGCTGGGCTCATCAGCGGTGGTTAGAGAGGAGTCCTCTGGAAGGCGGCCTCAGAGCCGGTGTGCGTGAAACGTGTCTTCACAGTAATTCACTCTGAGGCAGTGAGTGTCGTGGCTGGGAATTGCAGGTAGTTTTTAAGTCATTACAACTGTGCTGTCATCCTTCTCCCCTCTCTGGTAGAAAGCCAGGAAGACCTGTCATTTTGAAACATTCTGGGGTTTAACCTCTGAACTTTTTTTAGGCAGGGTGATTTCCTTTAGCTTGTGCCATGTAATTAGCATTTTAGCTCAATGGGATACCTGTTTATTTCAGATGACAAATGTTGAAACTATATCTTCGTCTGCACTTAGGATTGTGGTGCTGCCTTGTATGGCACAAAGCATGTGTTTTGTAACTGCAGAAAAGGACAAAGAATATATCCTTGTGTGACAAACAAGCTCTAGCCCCCCTGATGCTGGGTGTGAGATAACCTTAGGGGTTTGTCTGGGACTGTGGAAGCTGGAGAGAAAGGTGGAGATTTTTCATGTAAGCTTTCCTGCTGAGGAGGGATGACAGCAGTGAGAGAGCTTGGGTGTTCCTGCAGGTGCTTCCACGGCTCGAGGAGTCGGAGTTCTTCCCAGCAAAGTGTCAGCAGTGACCGGATGCTGACAGAGCCCAAGGGTGGCAGCTGCTGCCCCTCTAGACCTGGAAGGGCTGCCTGAAAAATCCAGGCCTCAGGCCCGGAATCCAAAAGCTGTGCGGTTGTGAAGGACGTCAGTCTGTCCTGCTGCTGTCCTGCAGCATCTGGCCCCCTTCACAGTGACATGGATGCTTTGGGAGTTAAAAACTGTCAGCTTAAAAATTCTGGTCATGATTGAAGCCTGTTTTCCTTTTTATGTCTGATGTCACTTGGGGCACAGCTCTGCAAACTCTCCCTGGCTTACTGGTGCCAGTTCACTGTCCATTGGCCATCAAGCAATGCGGGCAGAAGTAAGTGTGTGTGTGTGTGTGTGTGTGAGTGAGGCTGGTACACATCTGCTCCTGGAGGAGCGCTGTCTCCAAGCGGTGGCTTCGGTACATCTGGCTCTTTTGTTTTCTGAGGCTTTGGTTAGAACGTGTGCTGTGTCTTCTGCCTTCTTCCCCTTTGTTTGAACTGACAGTTGTCCTTGTCTGAACCGATGGGCCAAAAACAAGTTTGCGGGAATATCTGTGTGGTGTTTTTGGACAGTGTTCTGAGGTTGTTACAGGTGATACGTGGGCTTGGACTTCAGCATCATGAGAGGGGGACCTCACATCTGTCTTCAGTCCCAAATCATATAGATCTTGCTGTACACTTGCAAACTCAGTTTGTGAAATAATCCAAAACTTAACACAGGGAACAGCTAAATGGCAAGAATATGCCCAATTTATATAATTCTGTTTCTTTGTTTTGTTGTGGAGCATGGACTTGCATCCTTCAGATATATTGATGATAATCCTGGGTCTGTGGAAAGCTCATTTGTCTTTTGTATTCTGATTCCTCAGAGAACTTTCTCTAATGGGTTCGGTGGCAAAGGATAGGGCTTTTATATAAGAGGCCTGTCATGTTGAAAGGTTTAGCAGATCTCTCTCCAAACCTCCCTTGAAGTTAATATTATAAAAGTGTATGTATCTAGGAGCTCTTATTTATCTTTCTAATTAAATCCCCAGATGTTCTAAGTGGCCTTTACTCTTACAAAAATAGGTGCCTAATCCTTGGGGACGTAACTAGTTTCTGGTTTTAGATTTTTCTGTAAAACTGATCAGAAGAGTGTGAACTGTGTGCTGTGTGTACAGAAAAAAAAAAAAAAAAATCATGAAGAACAGGTTTTCATTTAAGAGGCTTTTGCAGTTTTGAGTAGAAGGGAGTAGAGGGGAAAGAACAGAAAAATTTAACACTTATTTAATCTATAGCCTATAATCTTAAATTTTATGTCTCTATTTGAATTGGTTTTTAGTTGTCTTTTATTTATTTATTTGCTTGTTTATTTTAAAAGATAAATGAGTCTGTACAACACTTTACCTACATACGTAGCAAAGTATTTGTAAAGGCTAAATTTTCCATATGGGCTCCCATTACATTTCTTTTATCTGTATTTAAAGAAAAAAGAACTGCTCGTCTCTGGAGTTACGTGTGAAACAAACTGTTCTATATGGGGAAAACTTGTTTTTCCAAACAGACAATACCACAAATGAGATGCTAGATTAATTCTTTCCAACTATATCCCAGGGAGTGTGTCTCCATTAATTACTTCCTGCTAGATCAGGGTGAAGTGGAAGGCTAGAGAAGTGTGACTCAAGAAATATGAATTAGTATGTAGTGCTGATTTAGGAAGATTTCTGAGCTTTGCTTAAATACTGCCAACAATTTTTGCATAAATTCTACTTTTCTGTTGTGTCATTTCCTCTTCCATCTTACAGTTTTAGCCTGAGTAGGTTGGCAGCCATTTATTTAAATTTTGTGGCTGGCTTGATAGAAGGCAATAAGCAAAAACAATTCTCAGTGCTCCATGTTACAGCTAAGAATCTGGTGTGCTGCAACTGGGAAAGGTGAAAGGCAATGGTATTGAAGAGACAAAACTCAATACACGGTGTGTAGCACACTCTTCCTTTTATGAAAAGTTAGTTTGAGTCTTGAGGATTGAGTAATGATCATCATAATGCAGAACTGGGAGGGGGCGAAGAAGCAGACTTAGGAAGAATGAAGAAAAGTTTCTGCTTCTTGTCACACCAAATGACTTAGGCCAAAGGGCTCTTCAAGGTGACCTAACCTAGAATCAAAAAACAGAAATAAACAATTTGCCTGTTCTCTCATCAGGTTTTTCAGGAGGCTTAAAGATGGCTTGAGGGCCTTTTTTTTTTTTTTCTTCTCCTTCCCTTTTTGCTTTATTTAGAAGTTTTGGGTACGTCTAGACTGGAACAGAAGTGGCAAACTACACAGATGATAAAATACCAGTGAGCTTGAAAGCTGAGCAGAGGAATGGATGGATGCTTACCCCGAACGATTTAACTATTTGAACTAGCATTTACTAAAGGTTTCTCTTCTCAAATATTTAAGGTTTCAGCACTCAGTTTAATGAGATCTCAGTATTAGACTAGAACAAAGTAGCTCAGATACCATCTGCTTTATGTTTATGGCTGTCGCATATCATAGTTTCTTCCTAATCCTGTGAGGTAAAGACTTTAGAAATAATTACAGTAATAGATAATCCCTTATATGGCGGCTGTGCTTGCTCGCAGTCGTAAACTGATGCGGGTAACAACAGTGAGAAATTAAAGCTCAGTAACTGTCTCATAAAAAATGTCTGTCTCTTTTCGTTTCTCTTAGCCTGCGTAGGAACATGGCAAGGCTCGGTACTTCTGATCTCTGGGTATGGATGAGAGCATTTTGCATGTTATAACTGTTTTTTAGAGTTGCTGATAGAGTGTTGAGGTATCTGAAATACAACATTTTGGTTTTATTTTTGGTGTAGTGAAAGATTGGGGAGCTGAATTG